CCTCAGTAATAGGAATATGAAAAGACTGGTTTTCAACTTCTAATTTGAACAATTTACTTTTTTCATTAGCATCTATCATTCTCTGATGAGCTGTCAGAATGTCCGAAATAGAATTATTGCAAACTTGAGGATTATTCAAAATGGTAGATTTGTTTTCTGAGTGCTTATTTTCATTTAAAAAATACATAACGTGGAAGACTTTCACTTTGTGTGAGAAGTTATTTATTTAGGCTGTCTCTGCATATCAAATAGGCATGTGCCTGGCAGTGACCATTACATAGTTATAATTTGTTTCTTTTCTAAGACATTTCCATCTATGCAGTGTAACGTGTATTATGATGCTGAAACTACAGGGTCTTATAGAAGTGTTCACACCCTTCCAGTAATGTCCCATTTTCTTGGATTACCAGTGAATAGTTTTCATCAAAAGTTGTATACTCAAACTGAACACATTTTGGGCATATGTATTTACCCTGTTTCCTTTCCTACCCTGAGCAGTGTTGCTCCCCATTCATATACAGTGGATATAAAACGTCTACACACCCTTATTGAAATTGCAGGTTTTTGTGATGTAAAGCCAGAAATCAAGTCAGACATTTTTCCATCTTTAATGTGACCTTGCAACCAACAAAATTCAAGAGAAAAAGCAATAGAAAATTATTAGGAATAATCATTTAAATTAAAAAACCTACAACACCCTGATTGCATAAGTATGCATTTTTGTGAAACACAGCTGTTTCAGTATTTCAACACATCTCATAGCACATTTATTTAATTTCTGTTGAAGCACAAACTGGTCACTGGCCTATTTTGCTATCTTAGTTTAAAGAAATCAAACTTTTAAAACCCCAGCTGTAGAAATGTTGTTACAACAACACAAGCCTTATTTGCAGCCTTGTTCAAGTTGATGTTGTATTGGCATGCAAACATACTGTGATGTTAGAATGGTGCTCATGTCTACTTTTTGTGCAGATATATTTTGTACTGCATATTATAAAAGTACATTAATATTATAACTGATTCAGTTTATTGCAAACAAGATAGTGTACCATTGTCGTTCTTAATGTAACCCAAATAGATTACAAAAAAACCTTCATCATAGCTGTTGACAATTAACTGACCATGAAAATGGGTACAGTGTGGAAAATTGTTGCTCTAACTGTTGTATGAACATCACAGAAAGATACTGAAATGTGTGTTATGTACTGTAATTTATCTCGCATGTATGCAATCTAAGCGCTCCAGTGGGGTATGATATTTTATTAATGTAGAATATATAGATATGCCTGACATTTTTTCATAAGATAAATATCTTCATTCTCTCTTTGAGACCTTTTAATTGACGTATATACGTGCTTTAAGTGCTTCAATGCAAAAACCTTTTTTTAAAGTCCACATCTCTATTGGCTGAGAATCCGGTTTTATGTAATTGCTTCAAGAACATGCATTCCACTCAAATGTTTAATCTTCCAGTCTTTGTAAAATCTTTATGCTTGAAATCGTTAGCATTATTCTGTTGTAGATGCAGAAACGTGTGCTTTTAAGTAACACATGCTCAGATATAGTTTAATCAAGTACAGTTGAATTGTCAATTTTCCTTTATAGTACAGTAGTTCTACAACCTGTTAATATCACTTATATTA